TATCTATAGTATATTTAATCTATGGTATATATTAGTATAATATTTAAAGATATATTAGTAAAAAATTTAAAAAAATTTTCAAGTTTTGGAAATTGATAAGTCTAATTAAATGAATAATTTTCAGGAGGTTCGTCGGCAGAGAACCGCCCGAGCGGTGCCACCGTCGGGGCCCTCCAACGTTGTAAGTATAATATCTTAGTATAATATTTAAAGATATATAAGTAAAAAATTTAAAAAAATATTCAAGTTTTCGAAATTAAAAGGTCTAATTAAACGAATAATTTTCAGTCATTGGAGGAACTATTTGTAACGGCGGTGTCGACACCGCGAGCTAATGTCGTAAGGATATATTGATATAATATTTAAACGTTTGATACTGATAAATCTATTTTATTATTTTTACATTATTTCCAGAAAATCTCAGATCTATCATACGCCGCCGCCGTGCAACGATGTAAGTATATTATATAGATACTTGAGTTTTTGATATTGATGATTCTAATGAAACCTATTTTTTTCAGGCGCTGATAGCAGACAGCAGTAAGTTTTTAACAGGAACATCTTTTCTCAACAAAAAATTTGCTACTTTTATTTGTTTTGTTTTTTTCAGATAATCAATAAAGATTTTTTACATCATGACTTTATTTAATTTATTTTCCTTTCCAACTTTTTTATATTAATATTATGTGTAAATTGCTATTAGTTACCAATGCATATAGTTCATACTATTACAACACAACAATCAGAAATAAAGGTTCTAAGAATGTCAGTGACCTAAGGTATTGCATGGGATATATAAAGATTTGCATGTAACAAATACACCATCAGTAAGATGTCATTAATTAGTATATTGTATTGTTATTGAAATTAAAATATTTCATAACTACAATGAGTAAAACAAATAGGTACAACTTCAATTGAATACATTTTGAAAATATCAATAATTTAATTTCATGTGTAAATATTGTTCAAACGTCAGACATAAAAATACCAATAATATTATAATTTGTACAGTGGCATTACTCTACTAAAATAAATAAATGAACAGTCTACTAAGTTACTATAATATATGTACAACTATTGAATGGTGGTTAAACGTTTAGCATAAAAAAGTAAATAATAATATTATAATATGTATCACTACTATCAGCAATGTAGTAGGTAGTAGCACACAGTTGCACATCACATGATGTTATATATTATATTATCGTTATTAAATAAAACTAAGTAGAAATAAATGTAAATAACATCATACGCATTATCTTCTCATTTATATAGTATGCATTGTCATTAGTTCATATTTTTTCATTCTATTATAGTTAGGTTATGTTATACTTATGAACCGAATAGGACAAAAATGTTGTGCTTATAAAACAAAGTATTTAATTAATTAATTCACTCTTTTTGAGGGGATCGATTCCCAGTCCCAAGAAATGTGTGTATTTTAAATGAATTGTTACAAAATGTATGTTTTCCAAATGATTTATTATTATGATATACAAAACAAATATTGTCAATGTTAATATCTATTTAATTTAATGAACTGCAATGTATATACACAGCAGTAATAATCTAATAATTGAATACAAATCACAATATAAATCAACTGAAAGAATCGCATAGAAAGAAATACAATTATTAATTAATAGTGCTTAAAACAAAACAAATACTCTTTTGCCGAGTAAAACAATTAATATAATGTAAATATTATATAAATATTGCAATAATTACATTTATAATAGTATATACGGTCACAGTAGTAGTAATATATAGGTAATAGTAATAAAATGTCAATCATTAAAACTAATTCTCTATTAGTGTGTTAAACAATTAATAAAAATATGAAAATCATGTATACAATAATTATACGTGAAATTGTATAAAATTTACATTTATAATAATAGTAATACAATTAACTCAAATCTCGACCATTAATACAATACAACAGTTCAGGGGTGTACACAATATTATTAATATTGTGAGTACAGTGAAATTTACATATAAATAACATAATACAATGCAAATAGAATAAAGTAATTAATCAATCATTTATACAGTTTACATTAATTAACAGCGGTTCATGGTGGTTTAGTGTACAAAACATATTATTAATGTTAATAATATTTATTATTAGATAAAACAAAGAAGAAAGAAATACAACTATTAAATGGTGTTTAACAAAAAACCAAATACTCTTTTAGTGAGTAAAACAATTAATAAAATGTCAACTATGGAAAATTGTATACATATAATAATTATAATATGTGAAATTGTATCAAATTTACATATTTTATAACAATATAAGTATATATTATACAAACAGTAGTAATATAATAGTAATAAGATTAACTAAAATGTCAACCATTAACACAATATAAATTAATTAATACTAAAAATTAATACAATGTCAATTATTGTAATTTACAATAGTAATAAAACAAAGTAAATGTTATTTACATCATATAATATAGGAGAGCTAGTTATAACCTCAAAATGTTCCATTACAAATAAAATACAACATTTACAATAAATTGTCTGTAGTATCTGTACTATATTATCATACTATATTCAATAGTATATGGTACAAGACAAATAACACAGACATTACATACATTGTTTGACATCAGTTACGAATTCACATTATAGTGAATTCGCAACTAGAGAGAACCACGAGGAGGTTGTCAAACTTTCTCTCCGTTTAGCCCGAAGGCAAGGCCCACGAAGCACCTCCACACAGACCACGTAGAACAGCGGTGTAACGTATTAAGTTTGAAAAAACTGTTACACATGTTAGGTTTAAAGTCGCCTAGACTATCATCGTCATCTCTGATCATAGGGCGCATGTAGAACACAGACCACGTAGAACAGCGGTGTAAAGTATTATGTTTGAAAAATATGTTACACATGTCAGGTTTAAAGTCAACCAGACTATCACCATCATCTAGACTCGATCGTCGGAAGTCACCTAGAATATACTTACCACTTACCTATTGCATCACAGAACTTCCCTGTACACGACGTTCTTGGTGACGAATCGCCCGCTGTCATCGGCGTACATGCCGACTCTCACGGACTGTGCGTTTCTCACCCTCGAAAACGCCACGTACAGCTGGCCGTGAGTGAACGGGGGCGACGTCAGTAGCAAACCTACCCTGTCGAACGTCTGACCCTGCGACTTGTTGATGGTCATGGCGAACGATAACCTCACCGGGAATTGAAGGCGTCGTAGTGAGATGGGCAAGTCGTCCTCGCTACTGGACGTGAGCGGTATCTTGGGCAGGACGATGTCGTCGTCCTGTGGGTCGCCGCCCAAAATTCTCGCCTTGAAATTGTGACGTCGCAGTTGGGTGACCACCAACCTCGTACCGTTGCACAGTCGTCTCCTCGGATCGAGATTTCTGAGCAACATCACGATGCACCCCACCTTCAACGTCAGCCGGAACGGCGGCAGGCCGTCCGGTTCCAAACCGTTGAGGAACTCTGTGGGGAAATTGGCCACTTCGTCGGCCTCGTCCGCCATCATGGTGTCGACGCCGGTGTAGGTCATCTCTTCACCATCGACGCGCTCCAGCACGTCGCCGTTGACACTCCTACACTCTTCGTTGGTGGGACACACGACGACTCTCCGAGCAAATTCTTCGACGTTGGCCAACGACATTTGCTGCGGATACACGAAATCGATTAAATCGGCGGGGTCGCATACCATTTCCCGCGGGATTTGCACGGTGTCCGGAACGCCGTCGACCGCGGGCAGTCGGCCGTTGCCGAGCTGAAGCAACCAAGACGCAAAGTCCGCGTCGTTGCCCGCGCGCATGTTCCGTACCAGATCGAAGCGCTCCATGACGTTCCAAAGACCGTTTTTCTTGATCGAAGACATGACGATATCGGCTCTCGTCCCTCTCCGGATCACGGGCAATATCTGTCTGAAGTCGCCGGCGAACAGCATGGTTTTACCGCCGAACGGTAATTCCGATACCATGACGTCCCTGAGCAGGCGGTCCACCACCGTCAGTTGCAGTCCCGGCGACATGGGGGCTTCGTTCCAGACGATGAGCGCCGCGTTCCGTATCTTCTGAGCTCGCTCGGACTGCATGGTGATGGTGGAAGTCGAGTCTTCGGTGAGCGTGCCGAACGGCAGTCCGAACGTCGAGTGCACCGTCATGCCGCCGTCCATGAGCGACGCGGCGATCCCGGTGTACGCGACGCACAACACCTCCCGCGGCTGTGGTCGGTGTCGAGGCGACCATATCAGGCATCCGTACAGCGTAGTCTTTCCGGTATCTCCGGGTCCGTCGACGAAGAAAGTTCGCGACGCCTCGCGCGGGTCGTCGACGGCCGCCATCACGCGGTCGTACACCGTTCGCTGTTCGGCGTTCAAGGCGTCCACTTGTGGGGCCCACCTTGCCGCCGCGTCTATTTCTCGGAACAGCGCATCGTCCTGCTGCAGTGGTTCCAGTAGAAGGGGGTCGGCCAGGGGCAAACCGTAGTCGACCGGCGATTTTCCGTGCGCACGAAGTAGATCCTCGATGGCTGCCAGACACGCGGCCCTCGCGCGGTCGACGTCTTGGAGTCGTCTGTTGAAGTCCTCCATCAGGTTTGCTTCGTTCGCGCCGTACAACGCCAGCGAGTTTGAGGGCTCGCAGAACACCAGTATGGTGACGAACAGATACCGCAGTTGCCGCGGTGTGTCCAACGTCGCCGATTCCGTCAAACAATCCCGCCACGCTCGGTCGTCTTCCAACAGTCCGAGTGCAACCGCAGCCGCCGTGAATGTTTCGTGAACGACCCCGTCCACCGTCCTTAGGTCTTGAAAGGACTGCGGGCCTCTTCGGTTCAGAAGTAGCAATCTCAAGTGGAAACGGTCCCGGTCCAGTGGGTTGACTACGTACATCCGAGCCAATGTAACGTTTGTCATCCGATTCACCCGCGGACGCCATTGTTTGACATTTTGCTGCCATGTGTAATGCGTCGGTGTGTCGTGGTACAAGTACTGCCGACAGAGCCGTGCCGTGGGGGGGGCCTAGGGGGCATATGCCCCGGGCGCATGGTTTAAAGGGGCGCCAAACATTTTTTTTTTATAATATTTTAAACTTTACATAAATAAAATATATGAGAAAGATTATTGTTTTACAATTATTTTGGACCATTACAAATTTTTTCTGAACAAATTTCTGACTATGTTTGAGGAGTAACAATTAGTCAACCAAACGTTTTATTCTTGTTATATTATTGGCTTTATAATAAATTATCGTATTCTTTATCTCAAAATCGACTGCACGTCGAGCACGCGAAGTGCGATAAGCGAATGTCGAGAATTGTCGTGGACAGGGCTATGATAACGGCGCAAACGGCGGGAAAATATCAAGGTGTACAAGCTCGATTAAAAGAGATTAATGAACATGCTCAGTTTGTCCCTTGTGCTGCACACAGCCTTAAGTGTATCAGTAAAAATGATTTCGTTTTTCGGTATTGTACAAAATATATTTAACTATTTTTCTGGATCAACAAGTCGCTGGGAAGTACTAATGCGGTGTTTGAAAATAACATTAAAAACGCACAGTGACACACGCTGGGCATCTAAATATAATGCAGTTCATTCGTTGTATTGTCAATTTGGCGGTGTGATAAAAGCTTTACGTGACATATCTACCAATCCAATTTTTGGCGATGGGGTTGCTAATGCAGAAGTATATTGAAACAGTTTGATTTGGAATTTGTTTATTTTTTAGTCATGTGGGATAAAATATTGAATCAAATATATCGTGTAAATAAATTATTACAAAGCTCAAATATTTCAATAGATCAGGCTTCAAAAATGATAAATTGTTTAAATGTTTCTCTCCAAGAAATGCGTGATAGTGGAAATGAACAAATTAAAACTGAAGCTATTAGTATTTGTGATAAAGTTGGAATAAAATCTGAATTAAAAATCAAAAGGACAATAAAAAGGAAAGTTATGAGTGGAGAAAATTCATCGGGTGAAGATATTTCTGCAGATCAATTTTTAACATTGGAATACTACAAAGTTCTTGATAATATGATGGCTCAAATGAAATGGAGGTTTGAACAATTATCAAATATTGCTGATGATTTTCAATTCCTTTCTGCTCATTCACTATCTGTTACACCAGTTGAAAAATTGAAAAAATATGCAGCTGATTTATCTATCAAATACAACGAAGATATTGACCAGGAAATAATTAACGAAATTGAATTTTTTAAATATCAAGTAAAAGCAATTTTACCAGACTTAAACGCAACTGCTTTAAATATTTTAAACGCAATTAAAAAATATGAACTTGATTCAACTTGTCCAAACTTAATGACTGCATATAGATTGTTTCTTACCATGCCTGTTACCGTCGCTTCCGGGGAACGCTCTTTTAGTAAATTGAAACTAACTAAGAAGTATTTACGGTCAACCATGTCGCAAAACAGATTAACCAATTCTGCAATATTATCAATTGAGCATGAAATAACAAAAAGCATTGATTTTGAAGACGTCATTGAAGATTTTGCTTCAATAAAGTCCAGAAAAATTAAGTTTTAACTATATGATACTTATATATGTTACGCTCTTATGATACGTTTGTAAATATAACATGTATATATAATATAATTTGTGATTTTTATCATTTTTAATTATTTAATACGGTATAAATTAATAAATTATACCTAACTATTTTGTTTAATAATTACTATTACAATTAACTTTAGTTTTTTGTCAAATTAATGTTCAAAATACGTTGTAAAAAAAAAATTAAATTAAATTAAGTAGGAATGAAACGCATTATGATAAATAAATTAGGGGGCGAATATTTTTAATTTTGCCCCGGGCGCCAAATCGTAACGGCACGGCTCTGACTGCCGAGCCTCCACGTTGGTCGCGTTGAGCGCGAAGAACTGCGTGAGTTTCGTGTGACGTACGGCTTGGTTCTGTAGCCGTTCTTCTTCTTGGCCGGGCGCAAAGTACACGTTCTGACGGCCCTCCAGGTGAACGGGAAGCCTGACAACCACGTGACTTTTTCCGTGCAAATTGTACGAAAACAATCGCCAGATGGTTTCTGGCGGGCTGACGTATCTCGAGTTGACGTACCTCAAAAGGAATATTGATAACATGACTAACAATATATTGACTGGCTCAATATAAGATGATAACGTTTGGTGTTGCATTATTACTATTATTTTTATTTATCATAATTATTAATGTGACTTTAATTTATTTTTTTGTTCTGTAGACGCATAACATTGCATTGCAATATAATATATTACAGTGTTTAATAATTTTAATTTATTTTGAAGTGAAACGCTTAACCATACTAAGAACTAATTTTTGAAAATTGTACGAAGACGTACAGTTCTTTACTTTGACTGTTAGTGAACAGATACACCATCGGTGTGTCATTATTGACATTGAAAAATATTATGCACATGACGAAGAATCCCTAAAACCATTGAATTGTAATTAATATGACTGATATTATATTGTGATATGTTTTGATAAATAAATGTTGTAGTAACGCATGTAAAACAAAAACGGCTTGAATATTATTATATAATAGTTTACAATTTAAATAACTATTATATTTTGTACTATGAAAATAACACATCAAATGTAAACTTAAATAAAAAACTTGTATCAGCTGGAATACATTATCTGTGTGACTGTGTATAAAACACTGTATAATATTATATGAGAATGGCAAAGATATAGGAATCCATAAAAGTGTTTTGCTTGAATGAAAAAAATAAAATAATAATAATAATAATAAACACATTAAATATAAAGTATATAATATAGCTAGTATAAAAGTTATTGGTAAAAGTATACAACTACCCTAAAAACCTAAAATGCAGTGAGTAAAATAACACTGGACACACTGCTAAAACATGCATAAAATATTGTTACATGCTAATAATTTTCAATGTAATACCTATAATAAAAATTAATCATTAGTATGTAGGTACCACTGTGTACTAATGTAGACCACCTATAGAACTCTCTGTATAAGTACATAATATAATAATACCTGAACAACACATTGAATATATAATGGTAATGGCAAACTACCCTAAAAAGTAGTAAATAATTCATACACACTGAACACACTGAATAAACGTATAAAATCCACAATAACAATCATTATACCATACACATGTATAAATTATATATGTTATTAATAATATGATTTATTTAACTGATGTGTAGTACTGTATGCAATAGAAAGTTTAGAAATGTAGAAATGTTTTCTTAAATGGTAGTCAAAAGGAAAGTAATTTTATTAATTTTTCTGCGTGGCCAATGTCAAACTAAAACGTACAAAATGAGAGTCCTACAATGAAATAAAAACACATTTAGAGTTCCAAAATGAAATTTAAGATTGAATTCCTGAACATTGTCAAAATATGACATTGGCCCTTCTTGTACCAAGCCACATAATATAATATAAAAACTTAAAGGTATTGTCGAATGTATACAACTGCCCTAAAATATAATAAATAATTCATACACACTGAACGCACTAAATAAGCGTATAAAATCCACAATAACAATCATTATACCATATTATTATTATATATTTTATTAATAATATGATTTATAAGATAAACTATATATAACTAAATAATTAGTTAAATATTTATTTAACTTATGTGTAGTTCTGTATGCAATAGAAAGTTTATAAATGTAGAAATGTTTTCTTAAATGGTAGTCAAAACCAAAGTAATTTTATTAATTTTTCTGGGTGGCCAATGTCAAACTAAAACGTACAAAATGAGAGTCCTACAATGAAATAAAAACACATTTAGAGTTCCAAAATGAAGTTTAAGATTGAATTCCTGAACATTGTCAAAATATGGCATTGGCTCTTCTTGTACCAAGCCACATAATATAAAGGTATAAAAACTTAAAGGTATTGGTGAATGTATACAACTGCCCTAAAAAGTAGTAAATAATTCATACATACTGACACTGAACACACCAAAGTATACAATCCACCATTATAATCATTATACCATACACATGTATACATTATATAGTATTATATTGTATTATATTTGCACGTTTAATTTTAGAAATTACATAATTATAATGTAAGGTCAAGACTCACTTGGCGATTTCATCTTCCTCCTCGACCTCCAATGTCACACGGTCATGTCCTTTGTATATATACTTGTAGATATACATGACGCTCTTTATGGACGTGCAGATCTCGACGTTGATGTGCGCGTCGTACTTGGCCAGAAGGTAAGGGTTGTATGGCACTACACACTCGTTACCGACTTCACGACCTCTTACAAGTACCAACCGGCCGTCATCCGGTCGGCGGTACTTTGGATAGCCGCCGTCCGCAACGTACACAGTCTCCTCTGCGTACGCTTTGGGGAAATCTTGAGCAGCTGTTGTTCACCATGCACGGACACTGCGGGTTGACTGTTCCACACGGTCCGTGTATCATGTGGGACTTCACGCAGTCGTGTAAGCGCCTGTCGGTCTCCGGGTCCGGCAAGAAGGCGCAAACTACGTCGTCGACGTCTGCCGCCGTGCGGAACTTATGATCCTCCTCCAGGATTACCAGTATGTGCGCATGGGGCAGACCGCGTTTCTGAAACTCAATAGTATATACGTAAGCGGCGACATTACCAAACACACGATTAACAGTCAGGTCACCTAGTAGCTCCTGCAGTTTTCTGTTGAACACCCTGGCCACCAGGTCGGACCTGTCATTTGCATTGCTGTGAGCCGCCAGGTTTTCCGTTATCTCCGGCCACCTGGGATTGCACGTAAACGTTATGAACAGGTCGGGTTTTCCTTTGCTACGGACCATGGTGATAGCGTCTTGATAACACATCTTGTTGTATCGCTGCCCACGAACGTCGACGGCAAAATGATCCTACGGCCGACCGCCATAGGTTCGATGTTGAGGTGTTGGTTCACATGGTCCACGAGCCCTTGATACGCTTCGGTAAGGAGATTCCTCTGATTCTCACGTATGTAGTTCAGATTGTTGGTTTCCATCTGAACGTAGTGGTCGCACACAAACATGTGCAACAAGGACCGGCCTTGATGTATTGAGCTGAACAGTTGGTGCCTCGTGTCGTTGTTTCCCTCATATCGAATGCCCAAACGGTAGCACGCGAACTCTCTTATAGTGTTTCGACTCTCGAACATTGTTTCGTCGAGGGCCCTCTTGCAACATGCCGTTATGCCAACCGGCCTCGCCGTACGGGAAAAACAGCGGATACAACATGGAATCCGAGTGACACGACCCTTGAGAAATATAATGAATTTTAAGTTAATTGCTAAACCAAAGGTCTGTAGTAGCTGAGAGTTAGTTTATGGAGATACTTTTAGTAGTTATTTATATCTATTTATTTATTTATTATTATGATTGTGTTGTGTATGTATAGCAAGTACCTACATAATGTTTTGTAGAACCACAAAATATGTTAATAGTGTATGTCTGTAAAAGTGGTGTCAGTCAAATTATGAAATAAGAGCACAAAAGACTGAAGTAATGTAACTTTTGTTATAAATTATGTAGAGGGTGGACACACTGATTTCCCCCCAATAAATCCAAGTGGGTACTCTCACAACAATTGTAGTAGTAGTAGCCAACGGGCAGTGTAAGACGCAGTACCTTTGTGTAATTTAAAACTGTTGTAATTTATAGTAATCTATTGTTTGTTAATGTTTTGTTACTCAAAGAGTCAATGTTTAAATAAAGTGTTTAAACGAACGTATAAAACGTGTTGTGTTCGATGTTTTCAATCTAACAGTGATCTTTAACATTTTCAGAAGTGGGATTCGAGCGTGCGTGCATCGTGGTTTCGTAACGTAGTAAGTAGTAGGTACGGGAAAGTGAGGTTACGCGCCATTAACCATTCAACGTTTCGGTAAAGTGTCGCACGTTATAAAGTATTAGACGACCACCGTGGTACCGTCGGTAATTGGTAACCGGAATCACTTATCACGTACTCAACATTGTCACTGTTGTTGATATCCTATCACAGTATCACTATACGTTGTCATTCGTTGTTGACAAACACAAATACGCGAGTTCGTGGGTGTAATAACTAATAACGACGAAGTCATGAATAATGAAGCAAACGGTTCGTCGGGTGATTCGACTACTGGCTCGATCGGCAATGACCCGACGCTGCAGTCATTATTAGCCTTACTAGTTAACAATGTCATCCAAGCGCCGAGTATCAACAACTCGTATCAAATTATGCCAGATTTATCTCACACTGTTGGCGATTTTGACGGCGAGTGCGAGATCGGTGGAGAAGCTACCGCATGGCTGAATAATCTGAATGCCACCGCGGAACTTCACAAATGGCCCAATTTTCTGAAGTTGCAAATGGCCCGACGGCATATGATTGGAGCAGCTCGCGACTGGTTTCTGTGCAATATCGATGTAATCACTACGTGGGCAGAATTTGAATCGCTATTCAACAAGACATTTCGAGCGGACTCAAGTTTTTCGCAACGATATGCCCAAATGCAAGCCAGAATACAGATAAAGGGCGAATCGACCACCACCTACTTCCACAACAAAGTGAGGCGATGCAAACTAGTAAATCTCACATTCGCAGACACCAAAGAACAAATATTATTAGGATTGTGGTCGGACGAATTATCGCGGACCCTCTTAGCCGCCAGGCATATGGACACGGATGAACTTCTTGCGGATATCGTGGCATACGAGCGCGTACAAAAAGGACGTGCGGAAAATAGCTACGTAGACAAAACTCCGTGGCGCCCAAAAACTGTCAGAGAAGTCGACAAACGTGTTAGTGCGAAGCCGGCCAACGTCACTACAGCTGGTACTGTCGCGTCTGGAGACAAGGAAAAAAGCGTAGTGCCTATTGAAAATAAATTGCGCTGTTGGAATTGTCAAAAGACAGGGCACAGCCGACGTGATTGTCCTTCGCCTCGACGCAATGGTGATAAGTGCGCCTCATGTCACTGGTTCGGCGGTAAACACCACAAATCCTGTACGGTAAAAGATAAAGAAGAGGGAAAGTCAAACGCGGACAACAGCACAATGTGTACGTCAATAGGACCTGATCGACGCAGTGGTGGCACCTTGCATGAAAAACAAGTATATTTAAATGGTGTGCACGCCATGACCGGTCTTATTGATTCTGGTTCATCGGTATGCATTTTACGAGAAAGTGCTGGACGCCGATGCGGTTTGATTTGGGAGCCTGACAACACGACAATTGTGGGATTAACGCTGTATTCAATGTGTAATAATGTATAATGGCTTGTTTTACACAAACACAATGAATTTACACTGTTAATTTAATAAGTGTTATTATATATGTTGGTTTTGCCCTAATTAATTAATAAATAACTAATTAAATTTCAAAAGAATGTAGAGAATGTATGTGTGGTCGGATATTTACTGTGTACAATTAAAACTGTGAGTTATTTATTTATTGTGTGTAACCGCAAAAGAAAGGTAATTTATAAAATAATCTAAAATATGAACTCGGCAAATTTCTATACCAAGTGTTGATAATTCTAAGTGATGTTAGTTTTTGTTATTATGAAATAAGAGAACAGTGAATTAATCATTGAAGTAATGTAACTTATTGTCATACTATCACTATGAAAATAATTTATTCAGGAGGAAAATTGATATGAAATGTATTATAATGTAATGACTTTTGTCTTATCACCCAACAAACTCAAACTGCTAATGTAATAAGTATTACTGCACAAGTGGAAGGGTTGAAGTCGGCGTTAACCTAACGTATTGGTTATTGAGTAATTAAATTTTAAAAAAAAGGCTAAAATGTATGATGTAGTAAAGCTATATGATAGGGTGTAATTTAACTCTTCATTGGTAGCAGTTAGACTCGAAAAGGAAGTATTTCAATCCTAGTGTATAGTAAATATTGTAAGCGTTCAATATTTATTAACTAACCCGCTGGTATGAATTGGGTCCTCCGTTGTTGGTCGATTGGATTGGTGTCGTAGATGACCAGATTGATGTTTCTGGGAGGAAGACCACCTTCACCTACGAACACGGCCGCAACTTCATTAGCGGTAGGCAGGTTGTTTCGGCCCCTATCCCGGGCCGCATCTTCGACGAAATGCATCCTGACTGGTCTGGGTGGCACAGCTGCAGGATCTGGCTCTTTCCGCCAGCCACACCTGACGCATGTTCCTGAAACAAATATAGACATGTATATATTTACAAATAATTGTGAATTGTAATTACAAAGGAGATGGTAATTGGTGTATTTGGAGTTAAGAATTTGTAAACTAAAATATAATGTAGATATGTAACCTAATAATATGTAAATATCGTTCAGTGCATTAATCTCTATATTGTTAGAAATAATTATGTATGTGTAATGATAGTAAAGTAAAATTTAAAACCATTTACCTGTTTATTGGTAGCGGTGAGAGTATAATCTATACTAAATAAATTTATTTTCAATATTTGTGTGCCTAATGTGTAGGTGTAAAAGCGTAGAGAATCATATTCAATAGGTAAAAAGTATAAAATTTATTTATGTATTATTAAATGTATCCCAAGATAGTTTTACTTCAAAGTTACATGAATATCTTAAGTCATAAACATCCGAACCCTATGCCATATTTAATGTTATATCATTGAGTATTGATTTTAAGGTTTAGGAATTGCATGTATTATACCTGAGGTGTCTTAAATAACAAATAAGTATTAACCAATAGAAAATAGGTTTTTTGTAAATGTATTATATAACCAAAATTTTAATGTAGCTAATATAAAGGTATGTAAGTATCATTCAGTGCATTTAACTTGTAGGAAAAAGCTATAAGCTATAAGAAATTTATTGAAACATTTTCTATTGTATTTAACCCGTTTTTAAAGTTTACTATTTCGTTTAACTATTTTCTATTTTACAATTATGAACACATTCTCTTTATAACAATTATAATATCAACTCAGCTTTTCTGCTTTTACAGGAAACTTGTCTCTCATTATTCATCTGTTATCTATAACTTACACTTTTCGTTGCTAAATGAATATATTATTATTATTATGTTTATTAACACAATATAAAATAAAAATGTATATTATAAATATGTGTGTGTGTGTGTGTGTGTGTGTGTGTGTGTGTGTGTGTGTGGGTGTAGTAAGCTTAGAGTCACACAGAATAGGTAACAATAAAACCTCTACTTAGAATTTACTATAAGGGTTACATAGATCTAATAATAGTTGGTATGGTTGTGAAAAAAAAATAATAATAATAATAATAATAATAATAAAAATACAAAAACAACTGGCAGTCTTAATAACCAATTTATTGCATGTATTATTTGAAATAAATATGTACCTTCGGTATTTCAAATAACTAATAAGGAGGAGTTAAAAGCAGAAGTTAAAAAAACTGTTTGCTATCTATACTATTTTAAATCATTAAGAAAAGTATTTACTCTAAGGGGGGCAATTCACATCCCCAGTGTTAATAAATACAATAGTTAAAGTTTTCTTACATAAAAGCCATCGCATACGGATTGATGTCCCGCAGCAAACCGTCCAATAATTCTATGACGATTTCGGACAGTTCATGATTGCTCTGTCGTGCAATATCGAGACGCCGGTGGTTGGCCTCTCCGGACTCCAAGAAATACAACTGACAGTTGTTGGCACCTCCCGGGGCAACGGCCACCTCATTGTTGGTCCTCCGATAGGTCTGTCCGTGGACAATCCACACTGGCGGTCCCCGCCCTGGCAAACGCCTGTCGTTTGCGTCGCAGGTAAACGCAGCGAATGCCAGAACGTTGTTGTACCGCCGAATGTCCGCCCGGAATCTACGGCCATCCTGTGAATCATCTATAAATAAACTCTGAATTAAATAGGGAACGGGCAACAACGCGTGTTGTCCTGCAGCGACCACTTGGCCGTTGTTACAACACGTGGAGAAGTGACCCCGGGACGTTTGCTCTTCACTGAAGTGGCGGGCGTAACAATGTCTGCAGACTCTGTCCAACGCGCCCGCGTCGTGCAGCTCTGGAAGCGGATGTGTCACTCCCGCCTGCCGGTAAATCATTGGCGCACGCACTCTGGGTAGTTCGACCACTACCACGTACTCAATATCCTCTACCGGGAAGTCGTCCTCCACCACTTCCTCCAACCCGTCGTCGACCATTTCCACCTCAACTACCTGGAAGTCGTCCTCCACCCCGTCGTCGACCATTTCCACCTCCACTACCTGGAAGTCGTCCTCCAACCCGTCGTCGACAATTTCCACGTACTCCACCAATTCCTCGTCCTCTACCACTTCCATGTCCTCAACCACCTCCATCTGGACTTCTGCCACTTCCACGGCCTCCACCACATCCATCTGGATGTCCCCGAACACCTAAAAGTTTGGTTGAGTTTAGAGTATTTTATTTCCAACGCATAATATTATTATTGTTTAACCAGGAATTAATGTCGTGTGTATCAGTATAGATGTTATACTCGTTTAAGTAATTTTATAAATAAGTAGGTAAAAATAAATAGGAGAAAAAGAGAAGTACATTTAGCTAAATGTGTGTTCAATGTGATCAAGTTAACTACACCTATATCTAAGCCCTGCTTAACGTAACCTTAATACGATCTTTTACATCGTAATATAATCTAAAATTGTCATGTAATAAGTAAGCAGATAAACTTACTTTTGTTATAGTTAAATAAATAAATTTTATCTTTAAAATCAAGAGAAAATCAAAAAACAAAGAAAGTATAATTGGTTGAGCATTCATAGATATTTATAATCTTTCTAACAACAATAACTTTGAAACATTGTAAAAACATATTGCACTATAACACTATAACACTTTCTGTTATACAGTACAATACATTTTTACAATGTTTCAAAGTTATTGTTGTTAAAAAATATGTATGGAGGCGCAACCAATCATACTTTCTTCTGTAAATTTCTTTGTTAATTTCTAAGAGTACTACATGTGAAATTCTAAAAAACTTATCTAGTACACAACTTACAAATGACCTAGCTCAGTAGTAAGTAATGTTAGTAGTAGTAGTAGTAGTAGTAATAAGAAAATATTTTGTTCGTTGGTTGTAAATGTCCATAATAAAAGTTAAAATACAGTGAGTTGAACTTTTAATGGTTGTGTGTTCATACATAACAGTAAGTGTATGTACTCATATGCAATAAGTGCATTTATACGAAATTATTATATGATAAGTTTATGTTACACTAATACTTAAGAGTCTTCAATGTGATAAGATCAAGTACACCTATATCTATCTCCACTATGTATCAAATAACCCACATTAGTAGTAAATATGTTACTCTGTATAACATTATATAATATTATTTTTGTGCATTGAATGTCAAAATCCATACTCAAAGCTTAACCTAATCTTAATACATCAAAGTATTATCTAAAATTTTCATTGTAGTATGCAGATAAACTGACTTTTGTTATAGTTAAATAAATACATTTTAACTTTACAATCAAGTACTAATTAAAAAAGAAAGAAATTCACAGAAGAATGTTTAGTTGGTTGCGCATTCATACATATTTATAATCTTTCTAACAACAATAACTTTGAATCATTGCAAAAACGTATTGCACTGTATAACAGTAAGTGTTATAGTGAAATCGTATGATACATGTTGTAGTTCAAAGAGCTGTACAAAATAATGTTTAATTGAATGTGTGACTACACCTAAATCTAAGGTCTGTCCAACCTAACATCAATACAATCTATTGTATTAAGTATTAAAATAATATAAACATTTCTAAGAGTACTGCATGTGAAACTTATCTAGTACACAACTTACAAATGACCTAGGTCAGTAGTTAGTAGTAGTAGTAGTAGTAGTAGTAAAAAAGAGTGTGTTGTTCATACATAATTTAATATAATCATGTGTTGGTTACCGTAACAATAACAAACATTAAAAAACTCTATAACAGTAAGTGTAGTATACTCATATGCAATAAGTGCATTTATATGAAATTTTATAGGTATTGAAATCTCATAAACTTGTCTAAGAGTATCACATAAAAGTTAAAAACGGTGAGTTGAAATTTTAATGGTTGTGTGTTCATACATATTGAATATAATCTCGTGTTGGTTAGGTTTAATGTGCTTATGTGTTATACCGTAAAAATAACAACAAGCTTACATTTTAAAAATGTATTGCACTCTATAACAGTAAGTGTATGTACTCATATGCAATAAGTGCATTTATATGAAATTATTCTACGGTCTATCACCACTATGTATCAAATAACACACAATATAGTAGTAAATATGTTACACTGTAGTACAAACAAAGTTAGTTGTATAAATAAAGTAAAGAAAGTATTGAAATAATCTTAACAGTAAGACAATATGTGAAATGATAAAACACTTATCCAGTATAGGAGAGGTTAGTAAAGAGTCTAGTAATACCTAAATTGTGTAGTAGTAACATTAAGAAAATGTGTCAAGTGTTCAGCTGTTTAAGTCAATATAGTAAAAGTTGATATAATTAGTCAATGTATTTTAGTCAATTGAAATCTGAAACAGCAGTAACACAATTGAATGTCGTTCAAGTTATTCTACAATTTCATTTCTATACAATTATAATATAATAAGTTATTAATTAATATTTTTATGACAAAATAGACATTTAATTTTCAAGAATGTTTTGTAGTACCTACAGTAGTAAAGTAAAGTATAAGTTATGTAGAGAAACAATGTATATAATATTATGTATCTAAGGGCAAAGTGAATAATAATTAAGCATGTAACCGTAACTTACAAATAAAAGAGAGTAGACCTAGGTCAGTGGTATGTAGTAGTAGTGGTAGTAGTAATAAGAAAACGTTCAAGTATTTTGTTCATTTGTTGTAAATACCTGTAGCAAAAGTTAAAATACAGTGAGTTGATATTTAATGGTTAGGAATTACCGTAACAATATCAACAATGACTTACATTTTAAAAATGTATTGCACTCTATAACAGTAAGTGTAAGGTACTCATGTTCAATAAGTGCATTTATATGAAATTATTCTACGGTCTATCACCACTGTGTATCAAATAACACACAATAGTAGTGAATATGTTACACTGTAGTACAAACTAAGTTAGTTGTAAAACACTTATCCAGTAAGTAATGCCTACTTTGTGTAGTAGTAACATTGAGAAAATGTGTTAAGTGTTCTTTTTAGGTCAATATAGTAAAAGTCGATCTGGGTATACAATTTTAGTTAGGTTGCTAACATACGCAGTATGTACCTACCTACATTAAACTCATGAGAGTACACAACAGTATTAGTAATAGTGTACTGGTGTATTTATTGAATATATAATGTATACACTCACTAAAGACGGCAATGCTGTTGACGACAGACGTCGGCGCTCCGCGTTTCCCACAGCGTAGTCAACTCCAGGGACGAAATGCCTCGAACACAGCTTAGATGTGTAGTTCACGGGGAAACCTTGGTCAACCACAAATGCCACCCACTCAAGACGACGTTGTACGGCACTTGGAAATCTAAGGCGACATATTATTATTATTATAATACATTGATAAGTGTATTAACGTGTTGAGTGAATTACTTGTGTACGGAAACGTCAATGATGTTGTCCACAATTCCGCAAAGCGCACAGCGTTTGACCATTTTGAATAGCCTAAAAGCATCACGAACAGGTTAGAATAGAAACAGAAATAGAAGAATACGAAAAATGACATATCCAGCAAAATAACGCAAAATGTACCTAGCGACAAAACACGTGTACCGCGATGGTAACGCTCCGAAACGGCTAACGGACTTACACGTCGACTACATACGGCTAATACGAATGCGGATATAAAAAAGTGTTGGGTATTCAAAGTACATTTGCGCGAAAAAAACACGAAACGCGCCATGATGGCCAGCGGAAAACTTAGGTGGTGAAAATATCATGTTCTTTCGCGATACGCGCTGCCACGAATACATCTGTAGTTTATCTGGATATTATAATATAGTAGTAGACATAAGAGTTGTACTTACCGGTATGTGAAAAGCGCCCAATGCAGAACAACAAAACTCAAAGGAAAGCACTGAAATATTGAATAACAATACAACGTATCAGGCTTTTCTGAGAGAATTGATGTGCGTTGCAAGAGCGCCGGTCACGAGATGACGCGGGTCGACACGGGCGCGTTTCGTGTCGCCAAAGTTATCCATCCAGCGGCACCACTCCACGCACACCAGCGCGTCAGTGTTGCGTTTTGCGTATAATAACAGTCGTAATAGCGCGTGGTATTGCAGTGTTGCTCCTAAATCGTCCACTTTTAATATTACACACACCGGCGTACGTAAAGTAAACACCATGGCTTAAATATACAAGGTTATTGCACATAGCCATTATTGTTATCAAATAAAATAAAATGGCAGCGTAAAGCTACGTTTACACGATGATAGTTGCTCTCACGATAGTCGCTATCGTGATAGTACTATCGCCGTGTGAACAAAGTGATAGTAACTATCGAACTATCGTGAAGCTACTATCACAATATCATGCATGCATGATAGTTGAGAGCAACTTTTACGAGAGTGACAGTAACTATCGCCGTGTGAACGTGATTTTCTATTACCGCGAGAGTAGGATATTCTACATATTAATTATAATATAATTCTATTTTTATTTCTAATTTTATTTTTCTAATTCTATTTCAATTCACATTGATTTTCATCTGTTAAATGTTTTCAAATGTTAAATTATTAAGAGTTAATTAAGAATTTATAATCTGTAATTATGGCTAACCAGTTCAATACGATTGAATTTCTCGAGGAGTACCAAAGGTACCCTTGTTTGTGGGACAAAAGCATGCCTGACTTTAAAAATCGCATAAAAAGAGACCATGCTAAAGAACAGTTGTTGAAAATCACAAGTGGTATAAACAATGTCAAAGAGTTAAGACAAAAAATAAGAAATATAAGGTCAGTATTTTTTTCTCATTAGTATACATAATATAATAATCTATTTTGTGAAAACAATATTTGTAAACTAAATGTTATTCGTTATAAATTGGGTAATTATTAAACTAGTGCAATAATAGATTTATATATATATATTGATATAGATGTACTTATAATCAAGAGGTTGCCAAGATTAAATCATCAATGAGGACAGGTTCAGGGTCGAGCACAGTATATAAACCTAAATTGGCCTGGTTTTCATTCGCGGATAGTTTTTTAAAAAAAACTTCAGATATTGAAAATAAATCGGACACTAATTTGGTAATATTTATAATATATTTATAATATTATAATTAAACTTAAAATACATTTTATGTTTTTAAATATTATTTATTGATATGAAACTGAGATACACAACTGAGAAATCGAATCATGTTAACAATTGGAGAGTTATTAAGTTTAATACAATTTTAAAATATTTATTCAGTAGGTATAAACTTCACTAGCTCACTATCATATTATATTAAAATGCATGCTAATGTTTATTTACTTAATTTTAGGTCAGTAATATAAGAATAAATTGTTGAATAATAATTTATTGTGTAATTTTTTTAATTAACTTAAATACTTTTTAAAATTAATTTTTAATTCTTATTACATATTACAATAATGGTAGGCACTATACTACTTAACTATTTATGATATTTATAGACACCATTAAATAATATTTTATTACACACAATTAAGAATATAATAATAATATTAATTATTCGATCATTCGATGTTGCCATGACACTTCTCCTTCGCCAACAAAATATTCTGCAAAACTGTCTCTTTTTTTTCGAGCTTCAGTTAAAGGATTTCGTTGTGTGGGGGGTCCTAATCCTCTGAATCCGGATGAACCTTCTTCATTTCGCCATGATCCAGGAATTAAACGTCCCAACTCTAAATCCTCAATGTCAACTGATATGGAGTGTTGACTAAATCCACTCTTTCTAATCCAATTATGTAGGGAACACGCTGCTTTAACAAGCTTCACTACTGTTTCTGGAGCGAGCGGTATAGGTTTCCTAAATATTCGGAATCGGTTAGCCAGTATACCAAAAGAATTTTCGACAATTCGTCTGGCACGACAGTGCCTATAATTGTAAATCTTTTCTTTTCTTGAAAGAATATTTCTTCTTGCATATGGTTTCATAAGGTAAGTTTTCAATGGAAAAGCCTCATCTCCCAACATAACTGCACCATCTGGCAGTTTTAAAACGTTTTCTTCAAGTGCTTTTTTTAACTTTGATTTTTCAAAAATTCCACCATCAGAATTACTTCCATAATTGCCAATATCAATGCATACGAAATTATAACTATGATCAACTAAGGCTAATAAAACAATGCTAAATGACCCCTTATAATTGTAGTAGTTGGAACCTGTATTTGGAGGACATTGTATCATTATATGCTTGCCATCAATGGCGCCAAAGCAATTTGGAAAATTCCATAATAAATTAAAGCCATTAATGATTTTATTCCATTCATTTTCATTTTTCGGGACCTATAAAATTAATAAAAAATAATATACAACAACAAACTAATTTTATATTAATCAATTAAAAATTATATTTTTATAGGTATTAAATGATGAAAGTGTTGTATTAACATCTATGGATAATGATGATTCTCAAATACTACAAGAAGAAGTACAGATTGATAAGGATTCTGGGTTAAAAGCTAATGATGATGATGATAACTTTAAAGCACCTACATGTACACAACGGAAGTCAAAAAAAATATTTTTAAAAAAGCTAAAATTGATAGCACGTTGGACAATGCTGTAGAAACCCTGAAATATGTTTGTAAAAAACAAACAAATGAAAATGAGTTTACAGTTTTTGCGAAACATATAGCAACTCAACTGGAACAACTTCCTTTAAAAGAGGCTCTCATGGCACAATCAGATTTCCAGAATATTTTGACAAGAGCTCGCATTAGTTCAATGAATGAGATAAATGGGTCCACAAACCCAATTGTAATGATAGCTACAAATACAACTGAGGGACAACTTATACCTTCACCATCTGATAATAGCAATTCAAATATCTCATATTCAAGTAATGATTCTACAAAAGATGAATTTGATGCATCTTACTCTGATTGTTTTACAACTTTAGAACCAGTACATCAAATAAACCAACAATCAAATTTAGCACTATTTTATAATAATTTTGAAATTGAATAATAATTTCTAAAGAATATGTATTTTTTTTTTTTAATTAATGAATGAAAGTTGTTAAAAAGTATTCTAGATAAACAGTATATAATAACCATACAGATTAATAAATAATAATACATTATATAAGGCATGATTATTTTTTGGCAAAATTGTTACCTGGATATATTCTATTAATCCTTCATAAATAGCATCAAATACAGGAGGTAAAAAACTACAAATGGACGATGCTGAGACTCTGTACAGATATTGAAGTGATTTGTAGGAATCTCCTGTAGCCAAATAACGCAGAGTAATTTCCAATTTTAATTTAGGTGATAGGGCATTTCTCATAATAGTATCACATTTCATAATTTTATTTTCAACCTATAACAAAGTAAAATTAATATAGGTTATAGTTAAATTATATATTTTAATACTACCTTTTTGAGTAAAATATTAAACATATCTTCATTAATTCTAAAAAAGTTGCAATAGCTGTCGGGGTCTTCAGATGCTAATTCTCTCGTTAGCGTGCTTGATGCACCTAATGCATTTCGAATCCATGGTTTTATCCAAATGCGTTTTTGCTTTTTTTTCTTAGTTTGTCTAAGCTTAATAATCTCACTAATGACATTAATAATTGCATAAGTCACTTCAGTTGTCGACATATTTTAGACTTTGGAATCGCAAGTCGCAACCAGCAATATTTGCTAGTTCATACTGCTTATACTTTTCATATTACTGTGATAGTGTGACAGTAGTAAAAACGCTCGATAGCGTGTAAACACTAACTATCGTGGTGATCAAATATCGCATACTCTCGCGATAGCAACTATCGCGTTAAACTATCATCGTGTAAACGTAGCTTAAGGGTCACGATTCTTTATCAATTATTGTTATCACTTAATTATATAATGTAAACATAATATTTAACTAATACTGTAATGCATAATATTGTAATATTTTGTTATGTATTTAATGTTGGATCATTACCAAGTAGGATTTATTAATTTATTATACACTGTTTACCTTTTTTTTCAACTCAACTACTCAACTAAATAAGTCATATTAATAAAGGTGAGGGATAATGAATGTGTAAAGGACTAGAGAACATAATATGAAAATACTTCAATTGTTTGCACAACTTTTGAATAGGTAGGTAACTATTTTCTGTATTTACGTGTTTTTACATTTCTAAATTATTTAATTTCTATTTTATTAAAACTAAAATCTTTTATTTTTTACTTTAATGTATTATAAGATTATTGGTTGGTGGTATGAAAATGACTTGGTTACTGGAGGATGCGTGTAGTTTAGGTATTATGTTGATGACTTTGTTCAATTTTTTCTTATTTTTCTTCATGTTGTCATATTTTTGTTTATGTTCAGCATTAATAGCACGAACTAAAATAAAAGTTCTTGTACGTATTAAATATAATAAAACCTTTTCTGGTACCGGTAAATCTCCTTTATAATAATTTATGACTTTATCAGCTATTTTTCTAATTATTGAAATGTCTTTAGAAAAGTATTCACCATGGAATTGTATAAAAAAATGCTCCATTACCTTGGCCACATCCATCAATTTATTACTGGGCACTGTTAAGTTACCTCTTGAAGCATAAGCTATCCAACTAGAACTATTCATATCACCATTAGACATCAAGTGTGGATATTTAGCTCTGAAATGATGCGCTACAAATCCAGTGATATATTCTAAGCCAGCCATTGATATAATATCATTATTGATATTCTCATTCATATTTTTTATTTCAAAATCAAATTCATCTTCATCAAATATTAAATCATTGCCATCAAGTATTGCATCAAAAATTGACTGTGTAAGTATAATGTCTTTCTCAGCTTCATTGGCATTATTTTCATTTGAAATGTTTTTATTTTCTAGAAGTTCGGTGGATAAATTATTTGTCATAACATCATCTTCAACATTTTTATGCAAACTGAATACTGCCGAAGAGTGTTTTCCCAATATATATTTTTTGAGTCTATAAATAAACTCTAATGGTCCTGGATGGTAAAATGAGTGACCCACAGCTCGTAAGTATGAAAATAAATTTTCTAAAATATCTTGATTTAATCGACGAGTTAATATATAATATGTTATACCATTGAATCGATCCTGAAAAAGGAATAAATTAGTATAAATTTAGTTTTTACAATTTTAAGAACTTATAAGCTTTTTTGTTACTATTATCTATAGTCATTATTTTAGTTAGATAAATTGTATTTATATATCTTATACATATATATTAGGTATATATATTAGTATAAGGTCTATGATTGTATTAAATGTATAGTAGTAGTAGTAGAAGTATAACTTTATTAGTAGAAATATTGTTATTATAGAACAATTTTAGACTACTGGAAATATTTTTACCTGTAAGTATGGCAAAAGTTGTATAAGTGATGAATTACTTATTAGTATACCATGTTGGAAAGGCAACATTGAACAATGCTTATTGACTCTTAAATTTTCAATTATTGATGACATTTTCTTCAATAAATCAATTTGTTTATCTAGATCCTTTCCAAAAGCCGGATGTGGTCCAAATTGGTTGTTAGAATTGTGAATATCGAACCAGTCATTCACCATTTGAATAAAGTCAGATGTTATTTTGTAACAATTCTCTGCACCTGTTCCATTAAAAAGTTGATTGTCACCAACAAAAAGTATTGCCTTGGCTGTATTTGCAGATAAAACTCTTGCTGCCGCTTTTACATTTTGTCTTTCACTCCCTTTAACATCTAGTAAAGTCTTTGATAGTTTCCATCCAGGTTTCAATTGTGCTGTTTGAATTTCCACTAGTTTATCCAAGGGCTTTCTATTTATAACTTGACCATCAGCAAGTATGAGATCATTATCTAATAAATGGTTTCTTATAAGCTTAAGCAAATGTGGTGTATCTGCAAAACAAAATACTTTTTCACCTGGAATACTTGGATTCTCAAAATATGGTTTGGTTGGAGTTATATCTAATTTTTTATGAAGGCCTCTATTTTTTGGTCCCATGTCTGACACAAAAGCAACTACTAAAAACCCAACATCATGGAGTTTTTTTATTGCATTGTTTAAAATAGTAACCGACATATCACAATCAAAATCGAAGAAGATTGGTTG